GGGCTGTTGTTAGGGCAGGGAGCGCTCGCACAGCGGGGTGAGTCAGCGGCGGGGACGGACGCGGGGTGATGTTCCAGCACCTCACCTCCCCGGGCAGGCTCCGCTCGCTGAGCTCAGCCGCTGGCCCCGGCACCCGGGTCGGCTCCCTTAGATGTCCCTACCGCTGGCCGAGCTGAGGACCGAGGGAGATGGGTGTCTCTGGCGGGGCAGGGGTGGGTGACACAGAGCGCCTGAGGCCATCCTGGCTCGGAACCGTTCTGCCCTGCTCGAAGCACCTCAGTGATCCCTTTCTTGCCGTAGAATTGCTCTGGGGAGGTAAATTCCGTGGGTCCTGCAGGCACAGGAGAGATGCTGGTGTTTCCCGGTGTCACCCCAGCCTTCAGCCAGCAAAGCTCAGTTGGTTGCTGAGTCCAGAGGCTAAATGGTGTCCTACAGGAGAGCTGGGGAGGGACCCCGGATCAGGGAGGGGAGCCCTAGGAGGAGGGAGAAGGGTCTGACACGGAAAGAGGGGAGGTTGAGGTGAGATCCCAGGAAGGAATTCTTTGCTGGGAGGGTGGTGAGAGCCTGGCCCAGGTTGCCCAGAGAAACTGTGGCTGCCCCATCCCTGGAGGGGTTCAAGGGCAGGTTGGAGGGGGCTTGGAGCAACCTGGGCTGGTGGGAGGTGTCCCTGCCCAGGGCAGGGGGTGGCACTCAGTAATCTTTAAGGTTCCTTCCAACCCAAACCATTCTGTGATTCTATGAGGTGGTCTCGCCTGGGGCAGGAACAGGTTTCACAGCAAGTTTTCTCTGCAATGGGCTGACGGGCACCTTTCTGTTCTTCCCTCAGGTTCTGCTGCACCCCAACAGTGGGGCAGCGGGGAAGGACGGGGAGATAGAGACGCTCCGACTGGCCCAGTACAAGGCGTTTTACACCACAGGTACCGTGTCCCTTGTAAGGATCGTAAAGTCTGGGAAAAAACTTCTGGAATTCTTGGTTCCCTGCAGATCCAGGTGAAAACCAATGCAGGTTAATTCAGGCAAGAGCAAACCCAGTGAGGTTTGTGCCTCCTTGTGCCCGTGCGAGGGGCTTTGCAGCCCGGGGCTGTTGGCCTCAGGAGCGCTGGTCGAGCAGCAGGACCCCGGCTCCCAAAGCTGGGACACGGTGGTAGTGGGCCATCACGGGTGGGTGAGGAACACAGAGGTGATCCCTGGGCAAGCTGCAACTCCGGGGTTTTTCTCTCATTTCCTCCCTAGGAGGGGCGATGGCATGTGATGGGAGCATCGGGCCAGCAGAGCATCACCAGCCACCCCTCATTTTCAATCTGGATCGGGACATCCAGGAGCAGGAGCCTTTGGACGTGGCATCCGTTGAGTACCGGGCAGTGCTGCCCCAGGCCCTGCAGGACATTGCCACAGACAACGTCTCGCTGGCAGATTACTCCAGAGACCCCTCGGCGACTCCCTGCTGCGACGCGCGGCACGTGGCCTGTCGCTGCCGGGCCCCCGGGGCTCCCGCTGCCGCCCCACACCCTCCCACCCAGAGGAGAGCCCCCCGCCTCTGTCTGTAGGCAAATAAGGCTCAGGCTGCTCCTTCCTCTGGTCTGGTTTGTGGTTCCTGCTGGCTCCAGGCTGGGGGTCGGCCACGGAGGAGAGGGAGGGAGGCTGCGGTGCCTGGGGGGGGGAGGTGGGGGTCTGGGTGAGCACACGGGGGGTCTGGGTGAGCACACGGAGGGTCTGGGTGAGCACACGGACACCCCGGCAGAGCAGGGCACTGGGCCCTCTGGGCACACGGAGGGAGACAGGCTTTGTTTTGTAGGGCTCTCTAGCTGAGAAAAGGGCAGCTCTTGGATTAAAACTACCTTCCGTGAGAGCTGGCTTTGGGAGAGGATTCCTCTGGGAAAGGTGCTTGGCTTCCCTCCAAAAGGAACCTCACGGGAGCGGGGGGAGGCAGCACAAAGCAGGGGGGGACGGGGCAGGAGCTGCTCAGCAAACATCCCTCTGGTGCTGAGACCCTGGTTTGTGGCTGCAGAGAGAAAATTCCCGGCTGGAATGAAGTGAGTGCTCTGGGAAACGGAGCACCTGCCCCGCCAGGTTTATTAACGGGCCTGTGTTAATGACCCAGCTGCCCGTGGAAGAAGGAGGGTGCTGGGCTCTCCCCGGCTGCTCTCCCCTCGGGGGTGGGACACTCGCGTCGCCCCGAGACACGCACCCAAATCCCAGGGTTTGGAAAAGGCTTGTTTTGGGAAGATGCCAGGGAGAGGAACCAGGGGAGCTGCTCCCCGTCACCCCTGCACGGAAACACCCACCGTGTGATGGAATTTATCTGTAGGGGGGTCAGGAGAGGTCCCTGCCCCGAGGCCTCCCAGCAGATCAGGGCTCCAGAGGAGCTGCTCCCGCTGGTCCCAGTGTGACACTGGGGAGGCAGAGGGGGGAGCAGCTCCTGTGGGGCCATCTCTGAGCAGATGCAAACCCCGGGGGAGCTGCAAAGGCAAAACTGAAGCTGCAACTGAAACTGAGAAACCACCGGGATTTCTCAGCAGCTGGGGGAGGGTTCTCTGAACCAATTTTGGACCCTGATTTACACACCCAGCTCTTTCTTTGGACTTGTGTGAACATGGGCAGGTGGGTGCAGCCTCGGCCCCCAGACCCACCCTCCTGCTCCCAACACCTCACCAAGGCTGACATCTTTAGGGCCCCACAAAGCACAGCAGGAGCACGGGCATCATCTGCCAGGGACAGGCCACGACTTTATTCTGTCTTCAAACATAGCAAATGGCATCTCCTCTAATATCACTGCAAAAATACTTTGCCTGGGTAAAATAGTATGTATATACTGTACAAAGACATAAGTTTAATAGATCTTCCTATAAGTACATTTATACACATAAACCAGCATAAATTAGAAAAGGGACAAATGGGTATATAAAATTCTGGTTACGTACAAATCTGCTTAAATTAGCATTTACATTGTGGTTCTAACATATAGTCTGTTAAATATAGCCATGTGCATACAGTACATTGACACCCCCGGACACGGACTAGAACAAGGGGCCAGCGGGGCCAGCTCCCCACTGAAACAAACCGCAGGAAAAAGCAGTGGCCCACCTTGGATTGATTTTTTTTTTTTTTTCCTCGTCTTGGGGACTCACAAATCTTGTTCTTCGAAATTCCCGGCTTTTCCAAGGCGCTTCCCAGCAGCTGTCCTGAGCACGGGTGTTTGCTTCTCATCAGGACCTCTTGGCTCTGCCCGGCTGACCTCCACGGCACAAGATTATCTACCAAAATCAAAACAGAAGGGCCTTACTTTTCCCAGCAACAGGGTGTGTTTCGAGTTGGTTTTTAGGCAGACGGGAGGAGAAGGGGGCAGGGATGTCCCGCAGTGTTTTACTTTCCATTCAAAGGCAGATTTGCGAGCACTTTATTTATTTACTTTCCCCCTCCCCAAATTTACAGTCCTGGGAACAGGAACCATCTGGCCGGGTGATAAGGGTGTCTGGCCTCAAGCTGGGGGGTGACTGAGGTCCGTTTCTCTCGCTAAGTCCTCCCAAAAAGTCATGGCGGGAGGGGAAAGGTGTGTGTCGTGTCTCCCCGGGGGCTCCAGAGCTCAACACCTACACGACGGACGGGGTCAGGAGAGGGGGAGCAGCCTGAACCTCAGCAAAGCCTGGGGGTGACAGAGGAAAGCAGGGCAGAGAGGAACCGGCAGCAGCAGGACCCTCAACCACCTCACATCAGCCCCTCTGCCGCGGGAGGAGGCTGGAGACCCTGGGGTAAGAGGAGCACCTCCTTCTTCACCCGGGGCCTCTGCGGACACCAACCACGAGCCAAGGGACACGACTCCCCTTCCCCAGCTCCGGCCTCGCCAGGTGGGACCCACATCTCCCAGTCCAGGAGGCTGCAGGAGGATCTGTGCCGGCTCCTCTTCCCGGGATCTGTCTCTCCATGGGCTCCAGGACCATCCTCCGCTCGGTTTTGAGGCTCCAGCGTTGGCACTGGGTTCCACGTTTCCCAAGGGACCTCAGATAACGTGCTGATAAATGGGGCTTAATCCTGAAAGGCCCAGCTGCTCAAAACGCCCGTCTGAGCTGCCATGAGGAAGAAACCGGTCAGGTTCTGCCAAACTTGCTCATCCCCCATGAAACACGATTACCAGTAGAGCTCCACTGCAAAATCGACGGCATTTCCTTCGCTAACAGCCAGCTACTAAAAAAAATAAATCACTTAAAATCCATAGTGCCACATATTCACACAACAGAAGGAGCGAGGCACCAGGCAGCAAACAGCAAGGAGGAACCTGGGCAAATACTGGTCCCGTGGAGGTGCACCTGCAGCCTGGTGGCTTGGACTGAGATCCATGGTTTGGAGCAGTGGGCACACGTGTGGACCCTGGGCTGGGGCACGGATCTCTGCACCCTGCCAGGGTGGGGACATCGTGCTGTGGTGGCCGTGGTGCTCCTGCCCGTCCTCCCAGGGAGAGGCAGGAGCCACGGGCACACACGGGCAGCAGCATCCTTCAGCAGCACAGGCAGGCTGCCCAACAGCTTCAGAGTTAGTCAAAAATTGATATTGACATGAAAGAGATGTTTCTAAAGACTGTGTATTGGTGATGGGAAGCTGTCTTTGAAGAGCTGGCCGCTGTCTGCGATCCAGCCTGGCTTAATGAAATGGCTCAATGGCTCTCCTGACAAAGCCTGGTCCCAAAGCCGACAACCTCCAGCCTCCAGCCAAATGCAGGACGGATCATGTTCGCCTGGAAAAGCACCGAGCAATCTGCTGGAAGAAATCATCTGAATCCCAGAAGTTTTAACAAGATCCGCTGGTTGCGTTCCCCAGGTCCACACGGGCCATCTTGCTTGCTGGATCCCATGGGATTTCTTTTGTCAAACCTCACAGCCCTGCCCAAAAACTGCTCTGACCATGCCCTGGTGGGGAGAGCCACCAGAGCAGCTCCCCAGAGTGGAGCCTGGCCTGAAGCACAGCCCCACAACGGCTCCCAGCACCGCTGGAAACCTCACCGGCACCAGACACCCGGAGGAGGGCGGCAGCCGCGGGGCAGGTGAGCGGCACAGAGCTGTGACCACAACCATCCACAGCCAGAGATGGGTTTGCTCTTCCCATCCCACAAAGCACCCACCAGCAGCCTCCTCTCCAGCTCCACACCTTCTCCTCACCCCAGGCCTTCTCCTGCTGTCCAGATTGGTAACACCTGAGAGCTTCCTGCGTAAGAGCATCAGCAGCTCTGAAAGTGCTTCATCCCCCCCATCAACACAACCAAGAGACAGAATTTAACTTGTTTAACCTCCTGCCGCAGGGTCCTTCAGCAGCCCTGGCACCATCAGCAGCAACATCCACAATCGCTCTCACCGAGGCCGCTTTTTATGAGCCCTTCTTGAGCTTCTCTCCTCTGATCTGTCCCTCCTTCTGCTTAATGAAGAGGCAGTTTTCCACAATCAGCCACAGACTTTACGTTAGACTGGAGCTGTTTCTCCTCGCTCTGAACAGCTGAGCCTCTGAAGTCTTGCTCGAGGTCAGGGGAAGGCAAGATGTTTCAAAATGGAGAGGAACGGCTGGGTCTGAGCGCTGCTGCTTCTCCAGAAGTATGTCTAAGTTCAAAGCCGCACTCGTGGCGTGGGCTGCGGGTGAATATTCCATTTTGTCACAAGTTTTGAGGTTTTTAAATGTCTTTTTGTTGCACACTGGAAAACAAACAAAACCCTTCCCATGTTTCCGCAAAGCAGAACGCTGTCAAAACATTTTTGTTGGATAAAGTCAGGTTTTCTCTCCTTCCTTCTCCGCACAGAAGTGACCGATGCCTGAAAGCCCCCCCCGCCCGCCCCGCTGGCACGTCACCCAGACCGAACATCTCTGTGCAGAGCACAAACAAGGCAGTGGAGTGAAATTCAGAGCATCAAAACATCCCCACCACGTCCCGGGACGCAGCGGGAGCCAGCGCCGCGTTAGCTGGCAGCCCAGATGCAAAACACATTCCCCAACGGAGGGGCAAACCCCAGGCAGAGACTGGCTCTGGAAGCTCCAGTTCCTAAAGCCACCCCACCAGGGAGTATTTCAGGAACGCGCCTTCCCTCCCACCCCACCTCCTCCCCAGCGTTACACACGTAAGATACTCGGGCAGGTTAATTACAGCAGAGGATTTTGAGAGATCAGAGGGGGTTTAATGAAGCGCCCGCTGCCGTACAGCAGGGATCCAGGGCTGCCTTTCTACGGCACAGCCCCGGCAGGGAGGCTCCAGCAGCAGCCTGGTTCCTGCTGGCTGGCATCTGCTTGTCCCCAGAGCACACGGCCAGGAGCAGGTTCAGCAGAAGGAAGCAAATAATTTCTCTCTGGCCCTGCTGCTCCCCCCCCGGACCTGTGATTTTGACCAAAGGAGGGACATTTTAAATACCCTTTTTGGGTAATGGAGAAGGACAACGAGAAAACTCTTGTTCTCAGGTTGTGTTACAGGTGGCAAAAGAGAATCGGTGTGAGGATTACGCCACTCGAGCTGGATCTCAGCAGTGTTGTTTCAAAGGGAGCCAAGAGCTGGTCACCTTTTATCTAAACAACACTCTGCACCGGTTACTAGGAAAGTGCCTCTCGGAGGTCAGGCCCAGCACATGGAACAAATCCTGGGATCCCGATAAAGCTCTTACTTTCTCTTTCCCTGGCAAAGCTCCAGCAGCAGGACATGTGCAAACGGAGTGAGGGATTCAGCAGTCTGCCAAGCCTACAGCCTGAAATCTACGTTCTGCTGCGTTAGTGCATCACTCTCAGGAAGACACAACCAGGTCAGAGCACGGTACCAAAGTCTGTCCATTTAGGGGTTAGAAACTTAACACAACAAATGTCATAAGAAGGGAAAGTGCCTCTCGGAGGTCAGGCCCAGCACATGGAACAAATCCTGGGATCCCGATAAAGCTCTTACTTTCTCTTTCCCTGGCAAAGCTCCAGCAGCAGGACATGTGCAAACGGAGTGAGGGATTCAGCAGTCTGCCAAGCCTACAGCCTGAAATCTACGTTCTGCTGCGTTAGTGCATCACTCTCAGGAAGACACAACCAGGTCAGAGCACGGTACCAAAGTCTGTCCATTTAGGGGTTAGAAACTTAACACAACAAATGTCATAAGAAAAAGGAGCCGGAGAGACACTGCCAGGCTTCAGTTAGACTTCAAAAAGCCAGTATCTTCTTCCAACAGTAACTGAGGAAGTGCCATATAAGAATCATAAAACGGTTTAAAACATTGTTATTCCTTTCGTCTTTGTAATCAGAAAGGAGTTTCCTTTTCAGTTAGCTTGGGAATGAAGAGACTGGTGAGGTTCAGGTATGGCCCAGTTGCATTCCCTGAGCTAACACGGCCGACTGGAAATGCAACTGGGAGTATTGAGCTTTATTTCTGGATGATGGTATTGTTCAAATTAAAGCTATTCCTGGTAATACTAGAAATCTGTGCAAGGCACAAAGGTTAGATCTGGATCTGAACGTCATTCTGTGTCTGCACTTCATTCAACAAGTTTGTGCAGATCCACCTCTAATTATTAGGTTTGATCATCTTTGCCCCATCCCCAGCTGCCGTTTAGTGGGGTGTAATTTTCCTGGCACTGTCCCTATAACTTAATTAGTTATTTCAGGGTTCACAGTGAACTGGGACAAGGTGGGGGCAAACAGTATCTCTTCTAGAAGAGGTTAATACTTTCTTCTTAGCCTGAGGGCCGAATGGCAGTTTTAGGGGTCCCGAATGCTCACAGGAGGAAACTCATTCTCGTCATCAAGACACACTGGTCCAGTTGCAAACTCATGCTCTGGGATAACCTCTCCTCGCAGGGCACCGCCGTCCTCCGAATAACCTGCCCAAGTGGAGATACAAAACATTAGGGATAAATGGATGGGAGGAGGCTGGAAACACGCAGCAGAGACACTATTTTATCACCTTTTTAGCACTGAGCTGCTTTCCCTGGCTTTTTGGCAGAGCTCTGGGGGGCTGAGAAAGGCATCTCCATTGACACAACAGATCAGGGAAGGGACTAGATGGCTACAGGGGGTATGTGGCTCCTGCAGCAGAAGCTTTCCTCCTCCCACCATGAATGTAAGCACCAATTTCGGAATAATATCCACATTGTATGTGGACCTTTAGAGTCGGTATTAGAATGACAGTCACCCCGTCCCCTGCAACAACTTAGTGCTGGCTTCGTTAGGGTAAGGTCTAACAGGTTCAGGAGAATCTGTAGCGATCTTGCCACAAAAATAGTGCGATCTGTCTTCTGCACCCACAGGTTCAATGCCTGGAAACCAGGAGTTTCTGTCTAGCAAGCTGTGGAGCTGGGATGTGAGCCCATCTGCAGTGCAGCTCTGCAGGAGGAGGAGAAGCACCAGCAAGGGATTCCCGGGAAGCAGGGGATGAACCGGGTGAGCTCCAGAGAGTCCTGCTGCCCGGTCTGCATCGCACAAGGGGCCTTTCTGGCTGAACCCTTGGAAGCTGGGAGACCCTGCTGTGCTCCAGGTGGCTCTCTTGCTCCTGCCCGAGGAGGAGGAGAGGCAACACTTACCTGGCATGGTGGAAGTTGAAGGCACTGTACTTTGTCTGGCTACCGTTGCTGCGTAAGATTGAGGTAATGGAGGCCGAAGGTCATTTTCTTTGTTCTCCTCCGTCTTTCCTGAGCCAAGCAGACTGCTCGAACGGGAGCAAGAGAGGGGAGAAGAGTTAGTTCTGATCCCAACCGTTCCTCCCCCCCAGCACCAGCTAAGCCAAGCGTCGCCATCTCCTCGAAGCACATCACCCACCCGCAGCACCCCACGCGGCCCCAGCAGCGCTGCGGGAGGAGAGCATTGTGCTCTACCAGTAAGGCAGGGGGGGAAGCAGAAGATAGGGACAGCACCACTTGGGCTGGAGGACAATGCTGGCATGAGAATAGAAGGGAACAGAGTGACCACAAAAGCTTTAGGTTACAAAAGCAAACAGTGTTTCTAATCACAGAGGGGGCTCCGAAGGGCTTCCAACAGGAGCGGACTAGATGGGAAAAGCAGCCCTGGCTAGTTTAGGATGGAGTCTGTGCAGAGATAGAGTATGATGTAACGTAACTCATGACCCAAGGGCCCTTTTCAGTCCTCTGATGCTGAGAGGAACCCACGTAGGAAGCTGAGGAGGGCTGCTTGGGGCCGGCGTCTGCGGTGTCCGAGGGCGGCCGGAGCACGCTGGACAGCGCAGCTTTGAAGTGCCGGAGTTTTGTGGCTTTTCCAAAAAACTGCTGGCATTTTCCTGGCTGGCGGCCACCTCCCGGCTTCCAGCACATGTTACATCGCACCCCACCCCGAAGGCTTCACATCTGGAGCCAAGTAGCCCAGATCTGTGTTTGTGTGTGTGTGTAGGGGGGGTTACGTGCTTAATCAAATTTGCACACAAGCTGAAGAGCAGCACGGAGCCTGTGCTGGGGCAGAGCGGGCCTGCAGGCATCTATCTAGGCAGGGGTTGTTTATGGAAGGTCCCAGCATCACTTCACACCATCCCACCCCCAAAATCACCTCTCCAGCACCCACTCATCCCTGGAGAAGGTGCTCTGCCACCATGGTGGTCAGTGCTCTGCTGCTGGAGGCATCTCCAGAGGCCTGCCCACCTCTGCTGAGATGTCCCACAGCTGCCCAGGGATCGTGGATGTCCCTGGTTTCTTCTGCAAGGAGCCCCATGTCCCTGACGTGGTTCCCACCCACGTCTGTCAGATTAGGCAGCTCAAATCACAAAGTCAGTTCTAATGTTTTGCTCCTACAGCTCAATTTTGTGCTTTCAGGTGAAATTTCCCTTCATTTTTCAGAAGATGAGCCTCCAGAGGTATAGTTACCTGTGTTTCTTAATTAAGACACACTCCCCTCCATCTTGCGGGTCCAAGTTGTAGATATAGAGATGTCCATCTGACGTAGTCACCAACAGTCGAGGCAGCTTCTGAATCCTAATGAGAAAAGCATCATGAGGCCCAGCCCGTCTGCGCTGGCCCCGAGATACAGCCTGCACCCCCACGGCCTGCTCTGCAGCCACGGGTGCGAGATAAGGGCCCCCAGTGTGGGTGTCCTGCAGAGATAGCCGGGCCTGCTCAGGGGCTGGCGTGGCAGAGGGGACACCCGTGTCAACACGTACGTGGAAAGGGCACAGATGTTCCTTTGGCCGGAGATGTTCAGGCGGACGGTGGCAAAGGCCCGATCCTGGCTCATCATGCCCGACACCTGAGCAGGGAGGTAGTTGGTAGCAGCCTGGAACATCTTCCCCATGTAACCACTCCAGGTTGGAGGCTCTTCTGGCCGGCTGAGGGGGGTCACAAAGCAGCTTCAGTGGGGCTACCGCAACCAGCCGGGGCAAAACACATCAGGAACAGCCAAAACAATCCTCATCTCAGATAGGCAAAGGATCTGGAGCACCTGCACACACTGTGCACCAGCCTAGCGGGACACAGGGGAAGGAGGCAGGGGACAGTGGCAGCTCCTAAACCCCGAGCAGGCCTGGAGAGGCTGACAGCAGGGATGCTTATCCAAGGAGTGAATCCCACAGGACACAAAGCCAAAGAGACCGTGTGCAGGTGGTATAGCTCCCAGGGAGTGTGTGGGGAGGAAATGGGAGCCAGCTGCATAAAGGCAGAGGTCTGAAGCGGAGACATCCTCAGGGCAGGCAGCTGAACCCAGGCTCACCCCCTCACCTGTCAGTCAGATGCTCCAGTTTAAAGATGTGCACCGTCTCCGTGTTGCTGGAAGCACAGAGGAACTGGGAATCCATGCTGAACACAAGGGAGCTGATGTTCACATACCTGGGGCCAAGCACAGACAGCACTGCTCACTCCAGGGCACGGTGTTCAAGGGGAATTGCTAAGTTTTGCTCACAGACCCACACATGCCGGGGAGCACCCTGCCTGGCTGCTGCCGAGCCCGCGGGCCAACTGAGGAGCATTTCCCTCAGGCCTTTGCTCAGCACAGCTCAGGGTAACCTCGGGTTAGTGACAAACAGCCAGGGAGGTGGAAATGTCCTTGCTCCCAAGACTGCAGAGTGAACATCTGTGCCAGCCTCACTACAGCAGCTAAAGCTCCCGTACTGCGAAGGCCAGGGCGGACATCCAAAGTGTGAATGACTTGCAGATTCAAAGCACCTCCTTTGAGAGGGCAAGAGTGGGGCTGGTAACTTTGGGGACTTCATTATTTCAAGTAAGAAACAAGAAAGGACAGAGCAAATGGAGAGAGTCTACCCCTGTTCTCTGCGATGGCCCTGTTCTGTGACACACTGAATTGACTCCCTACACTTGCTGGCGGCAGCGGGCGCAGCGTGGCTCTGTCTGCCACAATGACATTTCTATCTCATACGCTCCCTCTTGTTTTCTTTCTGCAAAAGATGCCAAAGCCACCAGGATCTGACGTTGCCCTGCCCCTGTGTTTACACTTCTGCTCCGGGAGCCCTCTGTGTATTTGTCACTGACAGAAGAATGAACTGACCTTTTCATCCCTCGCCGGAATTCATAGAGCTTTTGCCCACCAGGAATGGAAAATACACGAATGACTGTGCCCTGCAAAAAACGCAAATGGATTTTTTGATCATGCAGGAGCAGGGCAAAGAGTGCAAGCCCTTTCCCTGACACACCCAGGAAACTCAGGACGTGGCAAAGGCCCCTCCTGTTTGCCAGCCAGGGTCAATCTGAACCCGATACACTGGCTTCTTACGAGTCAGCGTGCTTTTGGTGCCCCTCCTCTGTTGGCTGTGTTTAAGAACGGGCAGCTCAGAGGTCATGCTCTCCATGGGACCCCCCTGCCAGCCGTGGGCAGAGGCACAGGCAGCAGGGAGGGTGCTCGCAGCTGCGCTCACTCACTTTTTCAGAAGCACTTGCCAACTTCGAGCCGGTGGAGTTGAAGGCGAGAGCAGCCAGAGGCCCGTCGTGGGCAGGGATGGAGCAGGCTGTTTTCTGTGGGGCAGAAGGTGATGTGAGTGCAAAGAGACACGTTGCTCCTTGAACTGCGTAAGGGCAGGGTGTTCCCCGCCTCGCACCCTACCCAGGCCTGCCGATAGGGATTCATGGCATCCTATCACCCTTACGGTGTCCCTTCAGCATCCTCAGCATTTCTTATCTCTGCCCTGCCTTGAGCTCACTCTCCACCTACTAGGTCCACTGTGATTACAGAAAGCTCCTTCCTGGGGCGGAGGTCTCAGCTCTCCACCTCTCCAGGCTGCGGGATCGCTCTCTCTGAAGCCTGGCATTTCTTTGTGCAGAGACAGAGACGGCCTCCCTGCAGTTTGCTCAGTTCTACAGCAAATCCTGCTGCAGCGACACCCCCCCGATGCCTGCGGGGAGCCCAGGCCCTCACTAGTACCTCTCACAGCAGCAGCGTGTTTTCCCCTTGTGCTCTGCTCCTCCCCTGCTGCAGATCCTCGGCTCCCGCTGCACGTAGAGAGCGACAGCCTTATGTAATCCAAAGCCCTGGCATAAACAGCAGATAATCATGACCCTGCTTCCAGCCAGGGACAGATTTCCTGATGGGGCTTTGGACACCTCAGCCTCTCCGTGACCTCGGGTCCGGCATCCCTTCCTGCCTGCGGCACGGCAAAGCAGCTGCTCCAGGTCTTGCACTGTGGCTGGAGCAGCTCCAATCCCTCCTGAGCCACCTTGGTCACATCAATCCCATGGGATGTGCTGCTGAACCCCCTATAGGAACCCTCTATAGGAACCCCTGGGTCAGTCCCTCAGGCTGTGGGGTAATGGGTCACGTTCTCCCACCCTGGGAGATGGATGTCCCCATCTCAAAGAGGCTGCTTCGCACGGCATCCAAGCAAGGGGGATGGGGACGTGCCTGCCCCAGGCAATGCCCTCCCAGTCTGCTGGGGGGAGTGTATTTATTCATCCCTCCCAAAGGCCCCGTGGGCTTTGCTGTGGTTGTGTTTGTTTTCAGTCCCTGCCGGTATCCACAGGGCCGAGCTCCGCACTTACCAAAGTATTTCCGTCGTAAAGCGCGATCTCCCCGCTGGTCGCGCTGCCGGGATAAGCCAAGTAGGAGTTGGCGTGGTTGATGGAGAGAGCACACAGACCTGGCAGGGCGAGAAGGACACGGCTGAGGGTGTTTGCTGGTGGAGCACAGAAAGCAGAGCCGCAGCCACGGACACGGCGGGGGGTTCAGGCTCTGTCTCATTTTGGGGCAGTGTCCGGCACCGGGCGCACGCCGGGTTCGTGCTGGTAATGCCTCGGCCGTGGGGCCACCTGCTGGCACGGGACAGCACGGCTCCTGCTCCCTGCTCCCTGCCACCAGCCTCCCCAAGGAGCCCCGGTCCTGCTTTTGGGCACACGCTTGGCTTCTCCCCCTCCTTGTCTCCTTTGGGAAGCCAAGAATAGGTGCGTGAAACACAGCGAGGGACATCTTGGTCCCAGGGCTAACAGGACTCCTGTCCAGGCACATCTGGGCACCTCCAGATGTGCAGGGGGTGTAGGCACTGGGTCAGAAGCTCAGATGAGCAGCGCGGTGTGGGCACAGCCTGGCACGTGAAGGCTGGCACGGCAGGGCTGGGGCCGGGCAGCGTCGTTTCCTTTTTCTCTGAATGGAAAAGGGAAGCCGGGAGAGACAAAGGAAACGCCACGGTTGTGCAGGGAGTTTCCGGCTCGAACCCTAGCTAAATTTTAACCACGGGGGGAATTCTTCAGCCATCTGTTTTTATGCCAACATGAGCATTTGAGCAGGAATTACGTGATGAGACAGGGATGGATGGATATTTTCATCCGCTTGTCCCCCAGGTGACCTCGGAAAAGAGCATCTCTTCCTGCCTCTCATTCCTGCCGCTGGCGGGGGACCCGTCCCGGTGAGCCCTGTCACACACAGAAACGGGTCTCAGTCGCCTCCTGCCCCACGTCCCCGGGCTCACAGTCCTCCCCGAGCCAGCTCAAGGCTTCAGTGTGACCTGAGCTTCCTGGCCCCCGCCGGGGGGTCCCATCTAGTCCCCCACGGGGAGGAAGCCGTGGGGTTAAAGGCTGCCGGGGATGCTGCCAGGGCCCCCAAACAGGACGCTCGCACGCGTGCACGTAGAGGCACGGACGTGCGCACACACGCCATGCAACCCCTCCTGTCAGGACACGGCCCTGGCCCCGGCCCAGCAGCAGGGAAGGATCGGCTGAAGCTCTGGTTTTAGGTCATTGTTTATAACTAAACAAAGAGAGCGCGGCGGAGCCAGGAGCTGCAGGATCGGCCAGGGGGCCCTGGGGATCCACTCCCTATCAATCAGAGGCATTTACATCATGCCAGGGACGGGAGAAGAGGCTCTGCAGCAAAGTGTGAGAAGAGGCTCTGCAGCAAAGTGCAGGCCATTAAAAGGCAGCTAAAGAGGGAGGGGAAGGAGACAGGCAGCGATCACCCACACACTTTGGTTGTGATGAGCAAGGGTGTCTTTTCAGGATGGTCTCCCCAGAGCCCAGGCAGCACGGGGGGGATCAGTGCAGCCCCTTTGCTGAAGTGGAGGATCTAGAGACTGCTGGAATTAAACAAAGGCAGCTCTGAGCGACTGGGGTGAGTCACCCGCTCCCTCTGCTCTGCGCCTGGCTGGGAGAGGCGGCCGGGAAACCGGGCCAGGGGAAAACACAGCTGTGAGTGTACTGGGCTGACCTCAGGGAAGCGCAGAGAACAAGGATCACAAGGGACACGGGCAGCCTTTGAAGATGCTCCTCTGCTCTTGGCAGCCCCACAGCCCCGAGGGCTGGTGCATGAAGCGGTGGGCCCAGGAGGGAGGAGGCAGGTTGGTGCTGCTCAGCGTGGCACCCCAGGGAATGTCACATCACAGGTGGCTTCCTCGAGCACCATGGAAAAAAAGCTACAGCATCCAAGAAGCCTGGCCTTGCCCCCAAGCCAGCAGGTCCAGAGGGATCTGGGGTTTGGAGGGAGCCACGTGAGGTGGTTTCCAAAGCTGCAGTCACCCCCAAGATGTGCCCTTATGGCACGGACGTCAGCGTGAGCACTGCAACCTCCTCAGTGCAAATCCTGCCCCTGACATGAGCCACAGGGAATCACAGAAACACGGAGTAACTCATGTTGGAAGGGACCCATGAGGATGAAAAACAACACGTCTGAGCACACATGAGACACATCAGGCTCACCCACTGTGGGCATTTTCCTCTCCTGTGTGGAGGAGGCTGGACTGGGAGCCAGGTCCTGGCCAGGAACAGCCAGGGATCTCACTGCAGCTGGCAGCAAATCCCAGTCCCCACCGTGCTGGTGTTACTGTGCCCATGGTTCATCGTTTGCAGCCTGATCTCACACCCTGTCACCACAGATCCCTGCTCTGGAAAGGGTTGTCCAAAGAGCGGTGAGGCTGAACTGCCTCGACCTCCTGGACACGCTGTCCTCGAGGTCAGGCTTGGGACCAGAGCAGATGGTGTGGGGACAAAGGAGCACACGTGGCACAACACTTGCCACTCAGCTCATTTCAACAACAGCTGCTGTGATAAAAGGGCTTTAAAAAATTGAGCCTGTATGAAGTCCTGTGATCCACAGCAGCCTAGTCCTGTCCCGGGGAGCACTGATTGCTTAAACCTGATCATTCAGCCCCGCTGCAGAACAGCCTCAGGCCTGGGTATCCCTGCCCTTCCTGCCGCTGGTGGCCTTTCTCGGGAAGGTTTTAAACTTTAATTATATTTGCAGTATTTAGTATGTTTAATCCACACGGAGAGGCCATCTGTTGAGACCTGAAGTAGGTCAGGGGAGCTGCCGGAACAGCGTCCCTTGAAAGCCCAGAAGGCAGGCGTGAGCCCATCAGCAACTTCCCAATTAACCACCCATGAAATGATGCTGCAGCCTGCGAGCGAGCGGGACGTGGCAGCGACACAGGGCAGCGCCGCGGCCGGCACTCGGCCAACTTTCCCTCTCCACTGCTAAAAATAGCTCCTCTCCCATCAGCAGGAAAGCCGGATTCACCCTCCGCTGCACAGAGAGGATCTGCTCTGCAGCCACCTGCCCTGCCCCTGGGGTTTGCGGCGTGCAGGGAATAAGATCAGGTGGCAGCCCTGGCTCCTGGGAACTCCCTGGCAGGGAACTGGCTGCGTTTTCGGCCCCGGGTGATCTCCACGGTGCTATTCACTTTGGGAGCTGACCCCAAGCCCGTAAGTAATCACAGCTTTCTACCTGCATGTGCATGGCCAAAAGAGAAGCTGGGTTAACCCCAGGTCTGCAGGGAGTGCAGAGCTGACTCATGCCAGCAGCACGGGGAGGCAGGGGCTGCTTTGTCTGGAGAGAAAAAACACCGCCGGACTCTCTGACACAGGGCACGGTGAAGGAAGGGCAGGGAGCCCCGGAGGGAGAGTTTCAAGCTCTCCTACACGTGGAGGGAAACTTGCAGTCCTGGCCTGTCTTACAGCTTTCCACTTGTGAAAGAGAATGAAGGCAGAGCTGGGAAGCTGGGAGCTGTGCAGACATCCCACAGGACAGGAAGGCACCGAACCTGGGAGGTGAAGTCAAACCACACTGACCATCTCTGCTCTCCTGCCATGGCTTTGCTCAGCACAGAGCAGGGTTTCTGCTCTCCTGAGCCCGACTGACTGCCTTCATGCATTTCTGGCTCCCAAATGTTAAATTAGGACACACAAGCCACAGGCTGGTTTAAATTCTAACGTGTGTGTTGAGTTGTGGCTTTACACAGCTCCTGCAGAGCTCATCTCTCCCTTTCACACCGCTCTCCCACGCTTACCTGTTGTATTTGGAGGTGTATCCAGAATAGTCTTCAAAAGCTTCATGTCCTTAATGTTATGGATGTAAATTGACTCCTCCAGGCAAACAACCAGCCTCTGCAAAGACACAAGGGACATGCACAGAACCTCACCAGCACAGGCACGGTGCCTCTGCCCGCTGCTCCCGCGGTTCACACCCCCAAACCTTCCCTGTCAACTCAACAGGAATCTCACACACACTGAAATGTTACAGAAACGTGATCTCTTCTGCTTCTCCATCCCCTCTCACTGGACAACCTTTGGTTCTGTACGACTCTGCTTTGGAGAGCTGCCTGCACCTGGTCTCACTTTAGAAAGCAGCTAAAACACCATGACTTCTCTGCTTGTCTCACACTCATCTTCCACAGCCCCAGACCCCAGGAACTGGAAGACAAAACAGGATTATACCCTTGCCATGGGGCTTTGACTGCCATCCATTCCTACCCCAAATTCTCTTTGCAGGTCTTTTCATAGCAAATTAGTTTTTTATCATGAAGACCAGGCAACAGAGAGACTGCCAGTCCTGCTTGTCAGGATGCCTACGGCTGGGAATACATGCCCCTTGCCCGGAGTTCTTCCCTGATTTGGGAGCAAATATTTAGGTGATGGGCCTCCTACTGCTGCTAACCCTAATGCATCTGTTCAGCAAATTCATGTTTCTTTTACCGTTTGGCACCAGCAGGGAAGAGTCTGCTTTATGTGCCCTGAGCTGTGCAGCACAATTGCATAAAAACGGGGCCAGGAAACATTTGTTCAGGGAGAGTCACGGTGTTTAGTGTTCCACACAGAGTATTTATACCACCTCGGCAGATGGGTAGGGCATTTCCAAGTTCAAGTGCTTGTACCTCTTCTACTGAACTCCTCAGGAACCCCCCCTGCCCACCCAGCCAAGGGCAGCTGTGGAGAGAGGAGCTGCCAAGGGCTGCAGAGGAAAGGCAGAAAGGCAACAGGAGACCTAACGCTGTAACCTTTGCACTGGGACACCATCTCCCTGACCTCTCAGCTTGGTGTCTCAGCTTGGCCCAGATCTCTGTGTGTTACCACGGAGGCATTTTGCACAGAGGGGTTTTTTTTGGGACTGAGCTTTGGATCCAGCTGAAGTTGTGCTTTCTAAGTCCAGCGAGCGCACGGTTCCACCTGCCTTAGTGCCAAGTGTTCGGAAGTGCTGAAAACCTCCCAATAAAAATGTAAGGCCAGACTCCATCCAGGCTCCTGAAGCTGGAGCACCCAAATCCATGTACAGGAAGCCTCCACCTCTTTAGAAATGAGGCCACTTATTTAGTATCTAAATGTAGAGCTTAGTCACTAACTTGCAACACCCACATTAGAAAATCTTTGCCTTGCTCCACCATTACTCTCGGATCAAACTCTTTCCCACTTCTATTCCTGCTAACCACAGCATCTGGGGCTGTGTCAGAGCCATCCTGCCTTTCCAGGAAGACTTTGCCATTTCTACAGTAACAGCCATCAACTTGCTAGCAGAGACCGTCAGAGGAATATTTATACAGCTGATTTCAGCAAAGCCACCCTGTGTTTTCCCAGAACTGCAAAACGCGCTGCTATTGATGTACAGGTGAAGGGAGGTTTCCAGATGATGGCAAAGCAACAGCCAGAGCTGCAGGAAGGGACAAAATCCAGGAAAGTGATGGGGGTGGGAGGTGAACGGGCACAGGAGGCCTGAAGAAGCCCAGCAGGAGTTGGAAAGGGCTGGTGCTCTGCCTCCTGCCCTCCCCGCAGCCCCACAGCCCGTGCTGACCTCAGTGCAAACCCTGCCAAGGTGAGGATGGGGTTTATCTCGCTGTGCACACAGACAGAGCCTCCCAGAGGCTGCCTGGGGGTGTGATGGACACAGGGTTCAAGGCACTGCGTCTTGTACAAAGTGTTACTGCTCACCAGTATTTCTCTTTAGTACTTCAGTTAGACACCAGTCAGGCTGGATAACTGAGTTGTGTGTCGAGGACTTTAACCTGCTGAGTACGGACACAGCCAGGGAAGAGCATCAAACCTCTCCAAAGAGCTCAGCAGGGTCTCAGTGGTGAGTGAAAAGACAGGGAGGGCTCCTCACCGACCCCACAGCACAGCCTCATGCCCCACTTGGAGACAAATCACCATCTGCCTTAACACACTTGAGAGATAAGATGGAGCTTGGAACAGAGAATCTCCAAATCTCTCCAGGTTTGTCTGTTACAGCAGGAGGATGAGCTCAGCCCAGGATTTGAACCCAAGCCCAGAAAGCGGCCAAGGAACGTGGGTGCACATCACCTTCAGGCCATCTCCAGAGCAGCACGTGGGGAAAAGCCTGAACTTACTTTATTCTCACACTAATCTCCTAGAGCTGCTAAGCAGAACCTCCCTGTTTATTTTTGTATCTATCTGCAATTCAAAGGAAGTCCTTATTTTGCCAGCTCCGTTGTAAGTTTAAGTGAAAAAAATCAATTTAGGACAGATTTAATTGTAGTACAGGAACTTCTGGTCAAACACAGCTTTACTGGAAACTCAACCCAGAGTTTCCTTATGGGAGAGCCTTACTGCAGGTCTCACTGTTGCTAACTGAAGAGATGCTGATTATATACAATTACACAGACTGCTTATTTCTTCATTGTAAAATGTCCTCTGCTTCTTACGGCATATACTTTGAAAATAATTATGGACAAAAAGAAAAGATGATTTAAAATCCTCCAAAAGGCTCCAGGCTGCATGAGACTGTGTCGGTTCAGAGAATAAATAACACTCTAAAAGCCTTCTTCCAAGTGGCCTGAATGTTTTCTATACCTTTAAAAATAAACCAAGACTGCTCGCAGTACTTGAGAAGCAGCCTTTCACCTCATCCACGGAGTTCAAGTTACTCCTGGGTTTTGTTACCAACTTTGAAGGTCTCATTTGCAACCAAGATGGCAGAGGTGGGCCTGAAGTCAGGATGTGGAATCCAAGGGGAAGGAGAAAGATGAAAAGGTGGTTTTTTGGCAGAGCTGTGTGCTGAATAGGCAAGAAGGCAGACAACAAAAAGCCTTTGTTTAATCGCTACCAAAACAAGGACTTAGCTTCATTTCACTGAAGCAAACAGTGGGCAGATGATACCCACAGCCATCCTGCTCCCCACAGCCATCCTGCTCCTCTGTCACAGCCACCAAGCCTGAAGTGGAGCCTGTAGGAGAGGACTGGGACCTGTCCCTCCAGTCCCAATTCACAGTCTCCCTGCAAACCTGCCCAGGCCACCGCTGCTGTGCCGGGCAGCGCGGTCCCAGCTGGAAAGTCAACACCAGCAAAGAGCCAGAGTGGGATGACTCTGGCTCACCCCAGCCTCTCACCTGACGATTCAGCCGGATGGACAGTATGTTACTGGAATAGCTGTAGTTGCAGATCTCTGTCCCTTTCTTGAAGTGGTAGACATTCATTTGCTGTGGCTTGGCATGACTGACCACAACCACAAGGCTGCTGGAGAACAGACGCTCCACGATGTAAACATCTGGGATTTCATCTGGGCACAGAAGGAAAGCAAGACAGAGTCTTTAGCTTGGATCATGGTTGGTTTGACTGCAGCAACAAGGGACTCAACTCAAGAGGGAACGGGGTTGGAATGCTCAGTGAGAAGGTGTTCAACATCTGCATTTCTTAAAAATTTCTCCTATCTGGCACAAAGCATTTAGGTCAGAGCAGGAAGGGGTTAATGAACCTTCCCCTGAAGGCAGAATTGAAGTCAGCCCCTTCTGACAGTGCAGTTATGCCTCTCCTGGGCAGGGCCCTCCAGCTGAAGCTAATCCTTGGGCCCTCCAGCTGCAGCTAATCCTTGGGAAGGGGTTATAAAAAGGAGGAGCTCACCCAGCTTGGTCAGGGGTTTTCCTGGAGGAAGTGAATAAGCCAGAGCTTGCTGAGGTAAGGACCAAGCTGTGTGTAATCCTGTTTATTTTGCATGGTGTCTGGTTTCTCCCAGCTTCCTTAAGGCAGGCTGACATGTTTCAGCTCTCCCTGTCACTGGGGCTGTGGTCTCTAGAGAGCTCTAGTGTGGCTGTGGGGAGCAGTGGTGGGGTATGTCTTGTAGAGACCATGTTTGGGGTGACTCCTCTTGTGCTGAGGAAGTACCATTACAATGGTCCTGGTAGACCTAGACCTAAATCATCAGGGACTATAACTTCTATAGTGGGTAGCCCTGTGGTGCTCAGTGCTTGGGCTGTGCTGTGTGGGAGGAATAAGGACTGTCCCACAGCCATGGTGTGGGACTGCTCATGTCTCAGCACACCACTTTAAACATGTCACCACCAGGAATCTGTTTCCCTTTGGCCTGGCAGGGGACAATCCAAACTCCTAAATGCTTTTTAACATAAGTACAAATGTATGGCTTGCTGCTGTATAGCAGCTTAGTTACCCTGTGAGACAAAGAGGAAAGGAGCCTGGACACTGTTTCAGATAATGCAGCCATGTCTGGTTGCTGAGGTTGTTCTACAGCCAGTGGAGAGGGACTAGTGCATCCCAGGTGTATCCTTAGTGCATCTCAGCTGAAGCACTTCTGTTCCTGGCCTGAACCAGACTAGAGTACATGCTCCAAGAGCCCTGACTTGTTTTGGGCTGTTAATTGCTTTGCTTGCTCCTCTGAACACAGCTAAGAGCTCAAAGCCTGCTGTGAATAACCTTCTTACATGGAAAACCTGTTAAAATCATCTTGCTTGTAAATACCACATTGGACTAAGCCTGTGAGTTATCCAGCATCTGTGCTGGGAGCCTGCAGTCTCCTGTCCCTGTATCTGAAACATGGCAGTGGTGAGCTACCTCTGAATGCTGGTTTGCAGGACAAACTGCTGCTGTCAGAATGATGGGAGTGAAAAAGAAGCTGGACTCTAAACTTGTGAGAGTCCTTCAACTTTGTTAAACTACTGCTGACTGTTCAGAAGTTTCTCTAAGGCTGTAGCTCACTCTAAAGGCTGCTGTGCACAGGGCAATAACCAGAGCTGTTCCTCTCCTGATATGGGTACAGCAGAAAGAGATGCCATCTCTGCAGCAGCAGTGGGCGGAATCACCCCCTTGAGGCAGATATTCCACTGCAGGGCAACAGGACACTTACTGCTTTCATGGACCTGGTCCAGTTGCTCCACAGAACTTAAGGAGAAAAGCCTGTATCCAGTTGTGGTTCCAATTGCCAGGGAGCTGCAAAGACAAGACAAAACCCTGCTAGTTCAGATCTGAAGGCCTCCGAGTGAGAGTCCCTGCAGATAGGGGAAGCAGGTAGTTCCTGGTACAGAGATCTGTGAAGGCACAACTTCCATTTCGACTCTCAATCTAAAGCACATAAAGTAACAAACCCAAGACTCTGGCATTCCAGCCTACAGAAGGCGAGTATCCCTGTGGGACAGTGAACTATCATCCATTTGTGTTCCTGTAGCTGCTGGGGGAAAAAATGGGCACATCTCTATCTGGGAAGCTGCAGATGGGACCCTCGGGACATAAAAAAGGAGACCCTTTCCTAAGGCAGGAGCTGATCCATCCACAGTGACGTGTGAGGGCTGTGACAGCTCTGCTCTAACGGCAGCGAGTCAGTGCCAAGCGCTGGCTCTGCTCAGCTCCAGATATAGCAAGCAGCAACATCCAGGTCTTAAATCATCAGCAGCTCGAATACCAACACATGGTGTTTGTGCTGGTGGCCAGCAGCTTCACGTCAGCAGCACATCACCACCCGTCAAAGCACCCTTTGTTTAGACACAGCACATGCAAAGCAGTGCTGGGAAGGTAAGGACATTTCCAGGTGCGGGGCTGCTATCTCTGATCCTTATCTTGCACCCCAGGATCTGGGCTGGTCTGGGCTCTGGGTGAGGGCTGCCAGGCACCGTGTGTGGCTCGCTGTTGGGATGTCTGTTGTGCCTCTTGGGAATGGTTCTGGAGTGAGTGGCTTTGAGGCAGGTAAGCCACAGGTTGGCAACGGTGAAAGGGCCAGAGGCTCCAAGGAAACCCTCTGTTGTCCTGAGGCGGTGGTGGGCCCGGGAGCCTGCGCAGGGCTCTGGGCACGGAGCCCCGGGGAACGGCCCCCCCGGAGCGGGCACGGACCAGCAGACAAAGCCCTCACAGACAGCGGCTTCTCTGACCACCCGACACTGCTTCCCCAACTGCCGGGAGGTAAAACCGGCTGATTCCTCTTGACTCCGTCCCCCGGAGGCCTCACCCGGGGGTTGGGGTGTCTGCCCCGGCCCAGCTCACCCCGAGCAGGGCCCTGTGGGGCCGGGGACCCCCCGGGGCCGGCCCGCGGATGGGGAAGAGCCTCGCCCAGGGCCCCACGGAGCAGGATCCGTGTGGGGGGTAGTTACCCCTGCAGGCCCAGCAGCCCCCGTGGGGCCTGCCCCGTTCCGGGCCCTCACGC